CTACAGTAAAACCGCCCTTCCATTAACCTCTCTGACTTCCATTAAACGAACTTTTCAGTGGACTCCCGAGGCTCAAGCAGCATTTGAGAAACTAAAATCCTTGTTTTCCAGAGCACCTGTACTTATTCAACCTGATCCGGCAAAACAGTTCATCCTAGAGGTGGATGCTTCAGATTCCGGTGTTGGAGCTGTTCTCTCCCAGAGGCTCGACTCAGATCAAAGAATACATCCATGTGCTTTCTTCTCCCGTAGGCTCTCTTCTGCTGAACAGAACTATGACGTGGGTGACCGAGAGCTCCTGGCTATTAAGCTGGCGTTTCTGAAGAATGGAGGCATTGGCTGGAGGGAGCTGAGCACCCGGTTCTTGTGTGGACAGACCACAAAAACCTGGCTTACATCCAGTCAACTAAACAGGCTAATCCTTGCCAGTCCAGGTGGTCAATCTTCTTCTCACGATTCAATCTAATCATTTACTACAGACCCGGATCCAAGAACGTGAAGCCCGATTCTCTCTCTCGTCTCTACTCCGTCGATCATCCAAAGACACCTGAACCTGTCCTCCCAGCTTCATGTACCGTAGGAGTGGTCAACTGGGAGATAACGGATCTCATCAACTCAGCCCTAGCCACTGAACCAGATCCAGATACCGGTCCGTCTAACCGTACATATGTCCCATCTTCTGTCAGGTCCCGTCTTATCCAGTGGATGCATGCCGCCAAATTCTCCGCTCATCCAGGAGTGAGTAGGACAGTTGCTCTCATCTCCAGGTGCTTCTGGTGGCCCACTCTCCACAGAGACGTAAAGGAGTATGTGTTGGCTTGAACACATGTGCCCGTAGCAAAGCCTCACACCAACCTCCTTCAGGCCTGCTTCAACCACTTCCTGTTCCCTCGCGTCCATGGTCCCATATCGCCATTGATTTCGTCACCGGTCTCCCTGTCTCTCGAGGTATGTCCACCATACTAACCATTGTTGACCGTTTCTCGAAATCCTGCCATCTAGTTCCCCTCAGAAAACTTCCCACGGCCTTCCAGACAGCTCAGCTGCTAATTAAACATGTTTTCCGGCTTCATGGCATTCCCCAGGAAATCCTCTCGGACAGAGGTCCCCAATTCATCTCTCAGGTATGGAAGGCTTTCTGTTCTGCTCTCGGTTGCAAACCATCTCTCACTTCAGGTTACCACCCTCAATCGAATGGCCAGACCGAACGCATGAACCAGCAACTGGAATCCACCCTCCGCTGTCTTACATCTAATAACCCCGTGGATTGGAGTCAATATCTCCCGTGGATAGAATATGCCCATAACTCTCTCCGTTCTGCATCCACTGGACAGTCTCCATTCCAGGTCAGTCTCGGATACCAACCACCTCTTTTCCCCGCAGATGAGAGAGAGATATCGGTGCTGTCCGTCAACCAACACATCCGTCGCTGCCAGAGGATTTGGAGGGAGACCATCGCCTCACTCAACCAGTCATCCGTGTCAGTTAAACGTTTCGCCGACGCCAAGCAACGTCCCGCCCCACAGTATGCTGAAGGCCAGGAAGTGTGGCTCTCCACTCGAGACATCCCCCTCAAGGGGATGTCTCGAAAACTCTCCCCGAGATTTATTGGACCCTTCAAGATCTCACGAGTCATCAACCCCTCAGCTGTTCGTCTCCAGTTACCTCAGTCCCTCCGAATCCACCCTACTTTCCACGTCTCCCAGATCAAGCCTGTTTCTTCGAGCCCTCTGTGCCCACCGTCCGACTCCCCACCACCCGCCCTGGAGGTCGATGGCCATCCGGCCTTCACAGTGCGCCGCATTGTAGACTCCCGTCTACGAGGTCGCGGATGGCAGTACCTCATCGACTGGGAGGGCTATGGACCGGAGGATCGTCAGTGGGTCCCTGGCTCGTACATCCTCGACCCTGCGCTCATCGAGGAGTACGAGCGTTCCTGCCCATCTACCTCTTCCGGACCGCCAAGGGGCGGTCGTTGAGGGGGGGAAAATCCCATCTTTCTCCAGCAGAGTCCGCCGTGGATCCTCTGAGGGAGCCTCCTGCACAGCTGCAGCTCATCTAGATCATCAGAGGATCCACTATATAAGCTGTCTTCAGACCTTGCCTCAACGCCGCAGTGTTGTTCCAGTTGGTCAGCGCTAAAGCCTAGATCTTTTTTGTATTTCCATGACTTTGAATCCAGGTTGGATTCTAACCACTGTCTCTGTGTTTCCAGGAAACCCGTGCCTCCTCTGTGAAAGCTCAGGAAGAGCTAACCTGCCGAGCCGACCCTCAGAGCCAAACCCTGAAGATTCTCAGAGAACCTCCAAGCAGCACTGGACTAGAGCTGGGAAACCTAAGCCAAGGTCTGCTCAAGCTAGACGTGAGACGCTGAAGCAGCAAACGGACTCTGCTGATAAACTCTTCTCCAGAACCAACAGTGACTCTCCCAAAGTAAACCTCAAGAACCCTCAAGGTACAATCAGTGAACCTGTGGAAATCAAACCCTGTCAGCAGTCTCTAACTGTGCTGTCTCCCTCGCAGACTCCGGTGAACCAGCACCCAGACCAGAACCTGAATCAGTACATTCTGTGTGTAGTGCTTTAATAAACTGTTAAACTTTCCATCCTTGTGTCAGTGGTGTTCTGCATAACTGGGTCTCCATTTGAGAACCCATCATGACAATTCTAGTCTTCACAGGATCGCTGATTGAAATTTACCAACCACCAATCATACAACAAAGCACCCAACACAGCCAGGTCCCAATATTTTCTCATAACATCTCAAACTATCAGCAATTTAAAAACAGTTGTTCGTACCAATCAATTCACTTCTTAACCATCTACACATGCACATGCTGACACCAGTACAGATCAGTGCAATGGGTTCATGGAGTTTTTTACCAACCAGGGGTGGCTTCAGTCTGGTTCAACTTCACTGCTACTTCCTCTAAAATCAGTCACCACATTAAACACATTTTCTGTCTTCTAAAGCATCTCTTAGAGAGAGGTGGAGAAAATCATATAGTGCAGGAGACCATCCATATGCCTACAATATTAAGCATATAGTCAACTGATCACAGCAATCCTGAGCCAGTAACTCTAATCTGGTCAGGTTCCCCCAGCTCCTAAAAGAGCTGGGAGAACCTATTCCCCCCATTTGAAAAAGCCCTCATTCGACCACAAATTTTTGCTCATCACAGACCCCCCTCAAACCTGCCGTTTCTGTTCGAAGTCCTACAAGAAGTTGTTGTAGGCCAACTCAAAAATCGGCATCACATTCTTAATATATACCAACAAAGTTCAGTCTGGTTTTCAAGCAGCAGAGAGCATGGACATAGCCCTCGTCCACATCATGAATGATCTACTTATGACTGCAGACCAGGGTTCACCATCTCTCCTCCTCCTACTATACGTTGTGGATTACAACATCCAGCTCCAGCATCTCTAGTCTGGGTTTGGACTGCCTGGGATCTGTCACAGTCTTGGTTTGTTAGTTCCTGTTTTCTTGGTTTTCCATTTGTTGTCCTCTGCTGCCCTCTTGTGTCCTCTTTCCCTAGCTCTGTTTTCTGTTCTGCCCTCACCTGTTTTCAATCCCCTCGTTAGCCCTCTCTTTGTTTCTGTCCCCTTTAAAAGCCTCCCTCTTCAGTTCCTGTTTGCTGGATCCTCGTCTAACGTCTGTCTGCTTTCCTCGTCTCTCCCTGGCTCCTAGAGATTTGGTTTTCCCCTGATGTCTCCTTGGTTCTGGTGTGTTTGTTATTTTCTGTTGGATTTTTGATTCCTGCCTCAGTTCCTGTGAACATCATTAAACCCATCTAAATTCACCTCTGCCTACCTGCTTCTGCATTTGAGTCCTACAATCAAACACCAAATCCTGACAGGATCCCCCATTAGCCCCAATTACAATGTCCTTTTGAAACCATGCAAAGAATGGTCAGAGCATGTTAACCAAGATAAGTGTTGAGTGTAAATGGAATACAACTGAACTGGACGTTCCAGACACAAATGAACCTCTCTAAATCAAGCATTAGTGCAACAGTAGGACTCAGCACGGTTCAGTTTTGGCAGAACAAGTCATCTTGTATTTACAGACAGCTAACATATTGTTTAGGTCAGTGGGAATAAAGTAGTTTTAATATGTTTTAAGTGAGAAAGTCCACCTGAAAACTTAATCATTCCAGTCAGTTCATCCAGATTACCATCCTGCCTTCTAATATTAGTTCTGTCGGAGCCACTCAGACCCCCACATAAGGATATGTACCTGTATATAAAACCTGCGCCCTATAATCTGGTGCGCTTTATGTGTGTGTTAAATACAGTAATGGCACACATAACTGAGACTGCGCCTTTTAGTGCGGTGCGCGTTATGGTCGTGAAAATACAATAAAGTGAATTTTAAATAAAACTGATTATTTCTATAATACGTTTAATTATGACACAATCAATTAGCAAAGCTTAAAGCCTATTTTGCACCAGTATTAACTATAGCTATTGCTGGTCATAGAACAAACAAGATCATCTGTTGATGGAGGACTCCAATAACCTGCAAAGAAAGAGCATACATTTAACAAACTAATTGAAAGATTTCCCTAATGATATTTGTCAAAGAAGACTAAGAAGTAACATTTTAAGACAAATCTCTAAATGTGAAAGGGACATTTTCACTGCAGAGATGAATCATACCACTGCGGGTGTGAGCAAAGGAAATGATTAACTGACCTTCATCTTGCTCTGTAATTCTCTGGGTTCACATTTGCGTAATCAGTATTTTCCTCTGCATGATGAGGCCTCTCTGTGAAAACCGTGAAACAAATACATTGAAAACATAAATTAACGTCCAATAGAAACTCCTGAAAATGTATTTATTATCTAATAATTTTTAATTGTTTCCATTTCAGTTAAATTAAAGCTTAGGGTTTATCTGAATTTAAAATATTTTGGGTTTTAATCTCAGCTATTTATAATCCATCTTCTTAATCAACTGCAGCTCGATATTAAAATATATACTTTACCTCCTCCAGTGGCTCTGCAGGTTTGGATCGTCTCATAGACTGAAGTGGTCGCTAGAAAATAAGAAAATATATTTCCATTAAAGAAGCTCATGGTTATGATATAAATTTATTTTTTTATGTTGCACAGCATAACCAGAATATTCCTTGATCGATTGTGACAGAATGATGAAATTCAGCACAGCAAAGATTTGACTGTTCTTTAAGATAATACCAGAGTCCTTTAACTCTGGTATTATCTGTTTTTTATAAGACGTAAGCAATTCAGTTTATAAGATTTAAAGCTTAATATAAAATAATTTATTTCTGAAATAGTCAATATAAAGGAAGATTTGACTCAAGCTAATCATATTTAGGAATAATACTGATGTTATTCTGAGACCAACCGTGTTGCAAAGAGATTTAAATATGATTTTCCATCTGATTCATTTCATAAATGGTGCTGGAGCTCTGATTGCTGCTTCCTGACTGGAATAACCTGAAAATGCTAGTGTGAAATAAATTTGCAGATGAATAAAAAGATTAGGAGTAAAAGTTCAAGATGAGAAAAAAAAAAAAAAAAAACTGACCTGATGCAGCATCGATCTGTGGAGGATAAAAAAAGAAACATTCATATAAACGTTATATTCATTTACATCAATTTCAAATTGAATACATCAATCGTTGGCTAAATAATAATGTATTTAAACATAAGAAGCAATCTAACATGGAATGAGAAGAAAAATATCTCACCATTGGGGTGTCTACAGCGCCACAGCAAGGCCAAAATGATAATTACAATGATTCCACTAACTGATCCCACAATCAGCAGCACAGGAAATAGAGGATTATAAGGGCTGGATGACGGTCCTGGAAATAAAACATTACGAAGAATTTAATGATTTTATCATCAGATCCAATAAAAATATTTAAATAAATTACTTTAAGCAGAAACATAGACATACATCTGCAGAACATCTACAAAAAATCCGGTATTAGGATCAATAAGTTAAAGTATAGACAAAAACATATTAATAATGTTAGTTGTTAGTGACAAGGGAGCCAAACTCAGTTATTAAGTTTTGTGAAAATTTTTACCTAAAATCAGGTTGCCTGAAATAGATTTAATTCTTTAGATATTAAACAATATTCATCTGTTTTTTTTTTTTTTTTGTTTTTTTTTGTAATAAGTCCAGCCTAAGATATATGTACATATATGTACATCATCTTTGTTGTGTTTTTGCCAAAGCCCTTTTTTAAAGGTCAAATCTGTTACCTTGTCCAGTTGTCCAACCTCCCCCTGCAGCAAACAGCTGCTTAGTTTAGTTTGGCTTCAGCCTCTTAGATCAAAACAAACCTGACTTACCAGATACTGACAGGATGATTGATTCACTCCACTCTGTTGAAGAATACCAGTCATCTCTGCTTCTACACTGACATGTGTATTTTCCACTGCTGGACTCAGAAACAATAAAAGTCCAGTCTTTACTGGGTGTGCTGTGTATAACAGAACCAGATCTCCTCTATTCATACGTCCACTCAGTGCTTTCTCCTCCCTGGACCTCACATGTCAGAGTGATCATCTCACCACTGAACATCTGAGAGCAGTTTGGTTTTTGAATCACAACAACCTTGTTGGAAACTGTTTACATCAAATTTGAACAAAATTAGCCAAATTAGTTGAGAAGATTTGATTTAGTAGATTTAGTTGCTCATAGTTTTCTTTAACAAACTCACAGGTTATAACAACATTGATCCAAGAGCTTGGATGTTTGTTGAAGTCTGTGTTTCCTCTCACTCCATAACAACTGTAGATTCCTCCTTGTCTCACAGCGATTTCTCTGTTTTCCTCATTATTTGTTCTGACTTCAACTCCAGGGGTGTTTGAGGTCTTTCTATACCATCTGTACCTCCATCCAGTAGAGGGCTCCACAGTGCAGCTCATTGTCACACTTCCCCCTACTGGAATGGTTGATGGACCTGCTGTGAGTTTGGCTCTGGGTTCATGTGCTGATATGATAAACAGAAAAGAAGTTGATTTTATACAAAAAACATAAAAAATTAATACTGAAATATGATTTCATTGTTATAAAAATATTAAAGAATAAAATTATTATAATTCATTATTTTTCAAAATAGGTAACATGAATTAGTGAGGTAGTTTGTTATTGTTTTATACATTATAAAAAGTAAATTTTTAGTTGTCAGGGTTTGGTTGAGGTTTGAGGACCCAGACGCAGAGGCAGAGAGGCTGAGTAGATTTTTTGCAGTTTAATGGGAAAAAACAGTAAACAAAGGCAGGAATCCAAAAAACCAACTAATAACGTAAACCCAACCAGAACCATGGAGACATCAGGGGAAAATAATCATGAGGAGCCAGGGAGAGACAAGGTAGGACGAAAACAGCCGCTCTGTTTGAAATCCTGGGCTGCATCCTCCAAGTACGCGGTCTACGTAGACTGGATCCTTCGAAGTCCGTGAAAATAAGAGTTTTGGCTGTGAATTCGAACAGGTCTACCCTTCAGCGGGTTTTACCGCCATATGCTCTGTTGCTTAGCAACCGTGAAAGTTGACACACAAAGCAGGAAAAAAATGAAAACTGAAGTTTTGAAAACTGTTTTTTTTTTTTTTATAAAGTGAACAAAGACTACACTCACAAGAATCCAGAGTGGAATATAGGTGTCAACCACCGGAAGCAGGAACAAATAAAATAAAATGTAATGATAGAAACCTTAGTCAGTTAAATAACCTGCTGCTGTCATTTTGCACATCTCTGATGTTGCTGCTATTTTCAAATATCCATTACTGTAGAAATGTCCATAGCTGGATATTGGTTATTTATTCTCCAGTTTTATATTGTTAAAACACTTTACATAATTGTATTGAACATATTTTGACTTTTCCCTATGATGCTATTCTTATACATTTTTCTAAGGTCCACATTTGTGTAAATTTGCCCATTGTGGGACAATAAAGGGATTTTCTATTCTATGAAAAGGGGAGAAATATATAAGTAAATCTAAACAATGTATACAGCTGCAAAATCTCTAATATTCAACAACAAAAAAATATTAGTTAAGCATAATGTGCAAAACAGCAAAAAAAAAAAAATGTTTACTCCTATCCTATTATAGTCCCCGCACTGCAGATATATTAGAATCTGTCCTTAAATTACAGCCAAACTCATTTACACAGTAACAGATAAAAACCTTTAGATAAATCAAACATTACCGCAGCTTATCTGACTCAATAACCATTAAAACAACAATTTTCCTTCATTTCAGACGTAACAATTCACAGACTTGTATCATATTAAACTGAACTTCCAATTTTCACTACTGTTTGTGAGCAATTCACGGCTTGCTTGGTCTCGCAATGAATCCTGGGTAAACCAAGGATACCGAGGATACATCCGACCCGTCCTTCAAATCGGGCAAAAAGAAGGACGCATTTTAAGGTTGCATAACGAGGACTCTTGGAATCCGACCAGACCTCCGCGCCGCGCTATGACATAATCGTCCTTCGAATCTGGCCTTCTAAGGACGCAGCCCAGGATTTTAAACAGAGCAAGCATTGAGATCCAGCAACGACAAGGAACCAACAAAGAGTGACAGCAGAGGGAGAGAATATGTAGCTGACTGAGACAAAGGCAGGGCTAACGAGCTGACGAGGAGCAGGTGTGAGAGGAGACAACGAGGAAGCCAAGGGGAAAGGAACACACACAAGAGGGAAAAATAGGACAACGCAGAAAAACCTTAGAACTAACATAAATCTAGAAATTACAACAAAATAGGAATTACACCAATAAAACTAGAAAAGAAGGAGCAAAGTAAAGCACAACAGAACCAAGACCATGACATTAGTTCTTAATAATTCCTTTATTTCTCATGTTAAACTTGATTATATTCCTACAGACAACCAAGAGCCATTCCTTTTTTTTCTGTTATTTTTCTGAACTAATAATAATAATAATAATAATTATTATTATTATTATTATTATTATTATTATAAATTAAGTTGTGTTTTTAAATACTGGATCTTACCTGAAACAATCATGTAGATAGTATTACTCCACTTAGGTAGATGTGAGTTCCTTCTGTAACCACAACACTTATATTCACCACTGTAATCTGTATAGTCAAGATTAAATGTGTAGCTTTTTGAACTGTTGATGTCATGTTCTCCACCATTCCATATTATTCTGTAATCCCAGTCAGTTTCTTTTCCTTCATTCATGTCACAGATGAAAGTAACAGACTCTCCTCTATAAAATGTCGACCAGTTGGGCTGAATTGTCAGCACAGCATCTACAGGAGAAGCAGCATTTAGTTCACATCTGTTCTGGTTTATAATAGATATTAACAACTAAAATTAAAATCATGAAAAAAGAAAAAATACAGAGTATAGTTATGATAAAGATTTAAAGCTGAAGTCACCTTGAGTTAGTCCGCAGCAGAGGAGAGTGTTCAACACTGGAAAAGAGTTGAAAGTTGATAATAGTTTAAAACTTAAAGAGATTCAGTTTAGTAAAATCATTTTCCCACCATGAAACCTTTAAATTACTCTGTTGTAAGCTTGATAAATGCAAATATGCTAATAAAGTTAACATTGAAATATTTTTTCTGATCAGAATAGGACAACTTTTAATTTAGATGTTTTAATGTCTGATAAGTTCAAACTCCACTTTAGAAACTCCACTTCTGGACTCTGTGTCTGACTGTAGAAAATGTAGAGACGTCCTCCACCGCTACTAAATATTCACAGATGGACGGTGAGGCTGAGCCTAAAGGTACAGCTCTATATTCAGAGATCAGTTTACTTTCCTACCCTGATCTACTGTCATGAAATCTGGATCATGACCAGCAGAACAAAATCCAGATCAAAGCAGCTGAAATGAGTTCTCTCCACATGGTGGCCAGGCCCTCCCTTACAGATAAAGTGAGGAGCTCTGCAGCTATGGTGGCTTGGACTTCTGTTTCAGATGCCCTCTGGACGTCTCCCTCAGGAGGTGTTCCAGGCATGTTATACCAGGAGGAGACCCAGGACACCCTGGAGGGACGATGTTTCTTGATTGGCCCTGAAACGCCTCAGGTTTCCCTCAGAGGAGCTGAAGGTGTCTGATAGAGGGAAGTCTGCCCCACCACCAGGTCTCAGATAAGTGGAAGACGCTGAGTACAAGAACACTTTCATTGCTCCACATTAGCGCTACTGGATCTAAAAATATGTGATAAAATCTGGTAATACTGAAATAAAGTATGACTATTAAATATTTAAAGCACTAAGGAGACGACCACAGCAGGAAAATCAGTGAAAGAAAAGTTCTTTAGATATTTCTTTAAACAACGTGGAGAAGTTAGAGCAAGTTTTAAAAAGGACAGCATGACCAAATAATGTTCTTCTTTTTTCAGAATTTTCTCTTCATTTAAATCCTTTCTACAAAGAAAGGGATCTACTTACACATTAAGCACCGCAGACTGAATAAGGTGTTCTCCATCCTGATCTTAAGGCAAAATGATGGGTTGTTCTGCTTTGGTCAAATATTGTTCCTTTCACATCAAGCTGCAAATGCAGTCTGTAGGAAAATGCAGATGTCTGAAATAGGAGCAAAGTTTTTACCTCAGCTTGAGATCAGAATACATTTTTATAACACTGACATCACTGCACTGAGTTCCTGTTTTCATGTTTCTTGACAAAGGAAAAAAAAAAGTTTGTGCCTCTGTCACTGAGGATATTTTGGTGACAGATTAAGAGCACACTTTGGTTCTATTTCAATATAGCAATATAGACTTAGATCAGTACATCTTTTTATAAAAATTGACATCACTGCATCAGGTTCCTGTTTTGATGTTTTTTATTAACTGGCAAAATGATCAGATAATTAAAGTGACTTCTGTTTGCATTTCAATTTTCTAATAATTATACATCAACTAATAAATATATGCAGAGCAGTGCTGCAGGACCCAAACAAAGAAACTGATAGAAAATGACCACCTACCAGAGAAATGAAGAAAGAGCGATCTAACTGGGAAACAAAGGGTTAAACTTAACCAAAAGCTTCACAATAAGGTGAAAATACTGACAATCACACAGAACAGAACCTTGTATGGGACCCTGGTCAGAGACAGAGCTGTAAAAAAACAAAATTGAATTAGAAACAGAACCAAAGTGACCAACAGAAAAGTATTAAGCACATACCATAATAACCTAAAAGGTTGATGGGCAGCAATGATTGTTTGTCACTGAGGCAACTAACACTTTCAGCATCGGACCAGGAAACTTCAAAACCTCCTGCTTTCATAGCAAAGAGTCAATGTGCTGCTGGTAAGTTAATGAAGACATTTTTTTCCATTCCTTCGTGCAAACAGTAGCTTAAAGCAAGTTTAGTATATTAATAGAAATATTTACATTTTTTTGCTCTACCCAGCAACTTCATGCCTTCATATTTGACATATACTGTAGGACATGTGTGAGAAGCTTCTGGCAAGCAGAGTTTAAAATTCCCCTTTTCATCTAAAAGAAACTAATGGGTGAGAATGATCTCATGTCTCAAATATAAATAAAGCCTTAGTGAGAAAAAGCAGGATATCATGTGTTAGTCGTTCAAGAGAACCGTAAAAAGGCTTAAATTGGAGACAACCAGACTTTCTCTCAGTTTTTTTAAAGACGTTTCATTACCTATGAAGTGTTTAGTTTTCTTAAGAGAAGCATTAAAAATGCTCTTAAAAAGTGAAAAAAATGTGTCAGGCTGTGAGACACAAAGAAGGAGAGAGTTTTTTTTCATTTCAATTTTCTTGTGAATATTATGTCTCATACTTTTTAAATTCTACTTTATTGTATGTTCCAATGCTGAATATTTGTCTTTCTCAGCATTGTTTCTGTTGATAAATTTGCTTGAGTGTGTGGTTTTCAACTTGGACCTCTCTGTGATACCAAAGAAAGAAATAATGAGGTAAATAAAATAAAATAATCTGTAAATGTTTGGTTAAATCAATTTACTGATAATCTCCCACAATCTGCCCTGCTACCAGAAAACAAATTGTTTCTGTTTCTCTTTGTTTAGTTTTTAAAGGGCCATCAAAGCTACTTCAGACAATGGAGGGATCAGAAAGACCTCTCAGTATTCAGAAATGTTACAGCCACATCCTTTATCCATCTTTTTCTAACATATATCAATACAATTAATGCGATTTAAAAGGGTGACCGGAGGGTGTACTCCAATTACAGAGATATTACACTCCTCAGCCTCCCCGGTAAGGTCTACTCCAGGGTGCTGGTGAGGAGGATTCGGCCTATAGTAGAACTTCGGGTCCAGGAGAAACATGTGCAACAATGTGCATTTTTTCCGGCACACTGGACCAGCTCTATACCCTTCATTGGGTGCCCGAGGGTTCGTGGGTGTTCACCTTACCAGTCCAGATGTGTTTTGTGGATCTGGAGATGGCTTTCGACATGTCCATCGTGGTGCCCTGTGGGGGGTGTTCCGGGAGTATGGGGTTCAGGGCCCTCTGTTAAGGGCTGTCCGCTCTCTGTATGACTGCAGCAGAAGCTTGGTATGCATTGCCGGCCAGGGTTTGGTTGAGGTTTCGAGGACCCAAAAGCAGAGGCAGGGAGGCAGAGGTGAGTCCCTTTAGTTTTAATGTAGGGTTCACAGGTAACAGCATCAGGAATTAAAAAAAATGCAAGAAAACCCAGAACCATAGAGACATCAGAGAAGACATGCACTAGAAGCCAGGGAAAGATGGGGAAAGATGAACCATCACAGAGGAACTGCACAGGGAGAGTATTTATGACTGACTGAACAAAGACAAAACTAACAAGCAGATAGGGAGCAGGTGTGAACAGGGGATTCAAGAAAGCAGCTAGGGAAAAGGGGACCAACACAAGAGGACAACAAAGAAAGACCTAAGAACTTAAATAGATCCAGAAAACACAACAAAATAGGAATTAAACCAAATAAAAACATGAATCAATGTGAAATTGAAAACTCAAAGAAAACTTAACATAACCAAAACCACGACAGTACCTTCCACGTAAGGGCAGATTCCAAATTCCCTAAAATGTTCAAAAACAAAAAAAACAACCCCCCCAGGGTGGGCGGAGGTGGAACCAAGAAGGGCACGAAACAAAAAAAAGTCCAAAACACAGAGAGTCTATGGAGGCCGGCCGTGAGGCCGGAGATGACGAAGGAGGGCCTCTGGAGGATGACTGAGAGGATGGCGTCTCTACAGCAGGAACTTTGGAGTATGGCTCTCTGCAGCAGGAACCTTGGAGGATGGCGTCTCTGCAGCAGGGACCTTGGGGCACCCGACTGGGGCACTGAAAGCAAGGTGGGGGCCACCCACTGGGGCACTGGGAACAGAACAGGGAGGCAGAGGTGAGTCCCTTTACTTATGATGTAGTGTTCACAGGTAACAGCATCAGGAATAAAAAAAAATGCAACAAAACCCAGAACCATAGAGACATCAGGGAAGACATGCACTAGAAGCCAGGAAAGATGGGGAAAGACGAACCATCACTGAGGAACTGCACAGGGAGAGGATTTATGACTGACTGAACAAAGACAGAACTAACAAGCAGATAGGTAGCAGGTGTGGACAGAGGATTCCAGAAAGGAGCTAGGGAAAAGGGGACCAACACAAGAGGACAACTAAGAAAGTCCTAAGAACTTAAATAGATCCAGAAAACACAACAAAATAGGAATTAAACCAAAGAAAAACATGAATCAATGTGAAACTGAAAACTCAAAGAAAACTTAACGTAACCAAAACCACGACAGTACCTTCCACGTGACGGCAGATTCCAAATTCCCTAAAATGTTCAAAAACAAAAAAAAACAACCCACCCGGGGTGGGCGGAGGTGGAACCAGGAAGGGCACGAAACAAAAAAAAGTCCAAAACACAAAGAGTCTCTGGAGGCCGTCCGTGAGGCCGGAGATGACGAAGGAGGGCCTCTGGAGGATGACTGAGAGGTTGGCGTCTCTATAGCAGGAACTTTGGAGGATGGCTCTCTGCAGCAGGAACCTTGGAGGACGGCATCTCTGCAGCAGGGACCTTGGGGCACCCGACTGGGACACTGAAACCAAGGTGGGGGCCACCCACTGGGGCACTGGGACCCAGAAGGTGGCTGCCAATTGCAGCTCTGGGACCCAGGAGGGGGCCTCCGACTGCGGCTCTGGGAACAAGGAGGGGGCCGCTGACTGTGGCTCTGGGACCCACGAACAGGCGGCACAGCTTGGGACCCAAAATTTGACTGTATGATCTGGTTGAACTGTAAAGTGCCTTGAGATGACGTGTTGTGAATTTGGCGCTATATAAATAAACTGAATTGAATTGAATTGAAAAAGGAGATGGCGAGCACCTGCTGAGGGGCCTTGGAGCTTTCTCTGTCTTGGAGCTCTTGCCGTCCTCTGTTTCATAACTTAATTTCATCCTGTGGCTCAGGGTCTCTGGACGGCACGGAGCATGCTCAGAGGTCTCTGGGCGGCGCAGAGCATGCTCAAAAAGAGGTTCTGTCTGAGGAGTAGCGCTAAGTAAATCTGCCTGAGGTAAATCTGCCTGATTATTTTTGCAGGGCAAACTGTAACTGGGCTGATATATAAGGAGAGCTCTGACAGGGTTTCACTTAGAAAAAGTCAGCAGCCTTTTGAAATGTTCTCTAGTATGGTATAAATCAAGATTCTCCAGAACATATCTCCAAAGCCTGCTATTTTCTGTAACACAAGTTGTGCTACCCACAGTAATTGCTGATAAAAAGTCTAAAGACTGTTTTAGAATTTTCATATTTCTTTATGCTATTACTAGTTTTAAATCTGTGGTAAACCATTCTTTTACAGCAACTCCTCTCTCACATATACAATATTGCATCTTCTAATATGTTTCCTTAAAGACTGTTTAGGACAGGAAGCTACAAAAAGTTAAATGACCATAAACTCAATGTAAACCCCTAGCTATTATTATTTTATGTTTATTTTATTTATTTGTTTATTTATTTATAGGTTTGTTTCCCTTGTTTTGATTTTATTTATTTTTTACATTATATGTGTCATTTTTTTTAAGTTATAATGTCACCAACTGCTGTGTATCTTTGTTTGATGTTGAGTTACTCTGTATTGTTACACGGAATTGCTAATAAAGCAAAAAAAAAAAAAAAACATGATAGACGCAGCTAATCTCGCGAGTCCTTCCGTATAACAATGACCTCGTATGTGATTGGAGGAGCTATACTCAGAAGAAATTTATCTCCAGTTCCTTTGTTTGGATTTTGCTGGTACGTGATCAATGGCTGGACGACGTCCCCCGTTCAACTCGCCTTCAACTCCTCTTGGACGCGATGGCGACTCTGCAGTCGAACAACTGTGCGGGAGAGAAGAACTCAAAGAAGAGAAGCTAGCGGTAAATATATGTTTGATTACTGCCTGCTAAGCTAAAAGCAGCCTAGCCTAAAGCTACGGCTAATAGCAGCCTAGCCTAAAGCTACGGCGAAAAGCAGCCTAGACTAAAGCTACGGCTTATAGCAGCCTAGCCTAAAGCCACGGCTAATAGTAGCCTTGCAAGAACAAGCTTTATTAAAGTGTATTTTTTGTGATTCACAGGA